ACCTGCAATGTGTGGAGAAAAACAGGCTTGGTTGGACCAATGAAGGAGAAAATGCAAACAAGTAACTGCCACACACATCAAGAAGCTCTGTGTGTAAAGGTTCTGGAACTGGATGATGTAATGACCACGGTCATGAAAACAGTGAACTTCATTTGCGCGCGTGGCCTGAATCATCACCCGTTCCAGCTGTATTTGCAGGAGATGCTCACAGCCTGGAGACGTGCCGTATCATACAGAAGTAAGGTGGTTGAGCAGGAGCGCAGTCCTCAGACGATTTTTTGAGCTTAGGGAAGAAATTGCTCTTTTCATGCAAAGTAAAGGAAAACCCTTGCCTGAACTGTCAGATCCAAACAGGCTGTGTGATTTTGCTATGTTGTGTGACATAACTGAGCATCTCACCCAACTGAATCAGAGGCTGCAGGGACGCAAACAAGTCATCACACAGATGTCCGACTTAATCACAGCTTTCCAGCGTAAACTTCACTTATGGAAGTCCCAGCTGGAACGGGACAATCTTGCACACTTTCCTGTTTTTTTCACGGCATCTCAGTCTCAGTTCCTGGTGCTTTTTCATGAGCTTGGTTGGCTATCAAAGTGAGCCGGTTAATTAATAAGTTTGATCTGCGCTCTGACTTTAGAACACAGCAATGAGGCTTTGCCATCTTAGTCAATCCTTTCACCACCGACGTTGACAGTGCACCCCATCACCTCCAGATGGAGTTAATAGAGCTTCAAAGCGATAGTGGCCTGAGAGCAAAGTTCCAGGATGTTGCAATAGAGGACTTTTACTGTCTACTGCCCCCTGCTTTGATGCTGCAGCTCCGACTTCATGCTCCCCGTGTTCTGTCCATGTTTAGGAGCACCTATCTGTGCGAACAGATATTTTCAATAATGAATCTAAACAAGACCAAGCACAGATTGCGCATCACAGATGACAATGTCCATGGTGTTTTACAGATTGCTACAGCACAAGAGCTAAAACCAGACATTGACAAACTGACCATGGGAAAATGGTGTCAGACATCTCGCCAGAAAAAAAAAATAGGCAAGACTTAAAAACCTGAATATAATAAAATGTATTTCAACCAAGAATAAGAACAATTTAATAAGTATACAATTTAATGTGCTTGCATTTTGTGTGTGTTTGTTGTTATTTTCAGAACATGGTCAATGGATGAGGATGGTGTGTGATATGATGTGTCCGGGGGAGGAGGGATCTACTAGGTGTTCAAGGACAAGCAGCATCACCTTATCAACTTCACAAAAAACTTGAACTGACACAACCCTTATTGTTGTTTTGAGTTAATTACATATATAACTTTTTATATGTATCAATGTACACAGTGTGTTTACAGCCAAATGTGTACTGTAATCAAACCATCGGTCATTAGTTGGATGTATGCCCTCTGCAAGGCTGTGTGCTGCTATTTGTTATATCAAATCTCAGATCTGTCACACATGTTATTAGCAGCACACAATTATTATTTCTTTTAACATAGTTCGGCACCTCTTGACTGTGAAAAAGTGAAAAGTTAATGTAATAGCTTATGTTTGATTAGATTTGTCTTTATTTACTTGAAGAGTCTGATCTTTGACCTGATAAATTCTCTATCTCAATCTATTTATGTTATAATAACAGAAAAATGTGCTTATATTTTTGCATCTGTGCAAATGCATATACAATTTTTGTGACTTCAATAAATAATCAAATACAGAGACAGTTATTTAACAGTATGTTGTGGAGTAGTTTTGTTTATACAGTCTTACAATTGCTTGCCCTTGGAGGTTATCCATAATGCTTATGTGGCCCTTGGAGAAAATGAGTGTGACACCCCTGCCATAGGGCTAAAGGGCTTTGGCGGGGTCAAACATTTGAGCACTGCTCCGATTTGCACACTGCAGACAGCTTGCAAGATTCCAGAACGACACAGAGACTATGTACCTGATGTGTACCTGATGTGTACCTGATGTGTACCTGATGCGTACCTGATGCGGATGAAATTTTTTTATTTTGTCATGGAACCAGTCGTTCTGCAGAAACTGATGTCCTTCTGAACAACTTCCCTGGGAAAATAGTGACATCCAAAAAGAGCACCAGTGGTCACTGGATTCTATGAGTTCTTTCAATTACAGACTCTTTTATTATTCTGGGAAATGCCTGTGTTTATAACAACATTTATCAAAACAAAACTCTTCTCTCTGAAATTGATTATTAAAACTGAAATTAAGTTATCCAACAACTAATATTATATTAGGAGACGTTAATATGGTGTTTAATGAATGTTTCATAACCATCACTATAATTTAGTCAGTTTCTGTAGCGTAAACAGACTGCTTTATAGTTTCTGCTCCCCTATCTGAACACTGCTTTATTAGTCTCACGTTAAAACCCAGTAATAATCACAAACTAAACCAGTGTTACTTGAAATTCAATGTCAGCTTATTACAGTCTGAAACGTATTGCCAAGGGGTAAGATTCCAACCTTCTCCAAAATGGAGCCTTTTAGAGGAGAACAATTTGACAAGAGAGATACGTCTCTGCTGTAATAAACCCCCACTTACAGATGCTGACAAAAGAAAACTACTTACACTTCAAACCAAATTAGATAATATTTGTCGAGGAAAAGCAAATGGAGCCTTCATCAGATCCAGAGGAAAATGGATCGAGGAAGGAGAAAGAAACTTCTTATTTTTGTAGATTAGAGAAAACCCACCAGGAAATAAATAAATAGGAAGACCAGTCCTTAATGAAAACGACTGCTCTGATCCTAAAACTTTAACCAATGAAATGTATTCCTTTTACAGAAATTTATATTCTAGATTCTCAGCTGATGCAACAGAGGCCTTCTTTAATAAAATCAGAAGTTTTATTCCTCAAATAAATGAGGACTTCCAAAAGTACATGTGAGGCAGCGATCATGTATAACGAGCTTGAAATGGTGTTGCAATGTCTGACTTCTGATCGCTCCCCTGGCCATGACGGCCTGACAGCCAACTTTTATAAACATTTCTGGGAGCATATCAAAGTACTTTTATTAGAAACACTTAAAGAAGCTTTAAACAACCTGTCACTTCCACAGACGTTGAGGCAAGGTGTAATTGTTCCCATTCCAAAACTCCAAAAATCAATAACACTTTTGAACAATGATTAAAATATTATTCATATTTTCAAATCGTTCCTCAAATAATAAGTGACACTCAATCAGGATTTTTGAGAGGTAGATCAATACGCAGTAATGCCCTCCTTGTCCTTAATTTACTTGAATAGAATGAGAATATAAATCATGATGGCTTTATACTCTTTTTGGATTTTTATAAGGCGTTTGATACGATTGAACACTCTTTTATTTTTAAGGCGTTGGAACTCTGTGGTTTTGGGTAAAAATTTTGAAACACTGTAAAATGTTTTTATAAGGACACCCACAGCTCAATATCTCTCTCAGGTGGCGCTACTCCTCTCTTCACTATCACCAGAGGCATAAAACATGGCTGCCCTCTCACCCTCACTCTTCATAATCACAAATGAGTCTTTGATGAGTTAAATGTCTTTGATAACCAAATAGTTATAAGTCAGCTGGCTGATGACACTACTTTGTTTCTCAAAAATGTTGACCAGGTCCCAACGGCTGGCCAAATTATAGAATCATTCTCAAAAGCATCTGGTTTAAAACTGAACTTTTAAAAAGTGTGTGAGTTATTAGCTTTACATGACTGCCACTTTGATGCAGCATACGGTATCCCTATTAAAACAGTCAAATACTTGGGTATGCATATAACAAAAGATACTAAGTTAAGTGAAGCCTTAAATGTATGGAACAAAATGGATGAATGTAAATCAAGATTAGACAGATGGTTAAATAGAGCTCCTTCTCTTTTTGGTGCATCTATATAACCAAAATGGGAAGCCTTTCAAGATTTACTTACCAAGCCTATTCTCTGTCTTTCCCCAATGAAGCTGCTAAAACCATCAATACATTAAACTTTGATTAAATTCGGAAAAGAAAACCTCATTGTCTAAAAAAAAGCGACTATAGTGAAAGACTTTGAAAATGGCTACAAGCCATAGACTTTGATTGTATAAATGGAACCTTAAAGACTAAATGATTAAGATCATTTCTAGCAAACAGTGGAAGCTTCTGGTATTGTGTCTCCAGGGAATTGTTTAAAAAATTAGGTATTGATTTAATTTTACACTGTGACTTTAATGTTCCAAAACTTTCTATAAAACTGTCTGCATTCCATTTGCAAGTATTCGCACTGTTATTTTGGAAACTACTGTACAAACACAGTTTTACTCCTCATAACATCTGGAACTGCAGATTCATTCTCTTTAGAAATAAGTCCCTGTATTTCAGTGAATGGATAGAAAACAGTATTTGATCTGTCATCCATTTACTAGACAACTATGGAAATGTTTTATCTTTTGAAGACTTTGGTACAAAATTTAATTTTCAGTGCAACCGTAAACATTATGATAAGGTTGTCCCAAGCATCCCATCTGATTTCTTTCTGATGGAAAAAAAAAAATGCTCTACATCATATGTTCAACCCACCTCATCTTCGTTCAGTGATGATTGCTTGTCACCAATGCTCTTGTAAGACTTTGCAAAACAAAATATTCTGCAATGTCTTTACTCTTACTTTATACCCAATCCAATACAGCTGTGCTTCTCATATCTTCAGTCATTCTTCTTTGAAGAAACTAATTACAGATTTCTTAAAGTTACCTTTATCACCAAAAAGAGGTTCACTTCAAAGTATTTAATGACATACTTGTATATCCTTCAGGAGATCCCCTCACACATAGATTTAACTTTGATCAAACTAACTGTATATTCTGTGATGAGGACATAGAGACCACGGATTTTAAATTAAATTTAAAAAAGAAATCCAAAACAACTTCCGGTTTAAGCGAGGATCGAGGAGAAAGGGAATATCAAATGAGATACTTTTATTGTGAAGGATCACAGACGGAAGAGTGTTTTTGTAGCTGCTGGCGGACGGAAGACGCGTCACAGTTTGAGGTGTGGAGGTAAACGTTTAGCTCAGTGCTGCAAGGAATCATTTTACTAAGCATATTTATAATGTCTCGGTTAAAAAGAGGTGATAAGGGGGACTCTCTGGCGGGCTTCAGGACTGAAAAGACAGAAGGGACAATTCCTAACGGGTTGCTAAAGGCGGCTAGGAAAAGCGGGCAGCTCAACCTGTCCGGCCGAGGACTGACAGAAGGTAGATTTCACTTTTTAGCTAGCTCACAGTGTGACAGGACCACTGAAAGTATCATTCTGCCTTTGACGCCAATTAAAATGGCAAATGTTTGTTCAAAATGGTCCACTAAAGAAAAAAGCACTCGCGGAGATCTTTCAATTCAGTTTATTGATCGAAAGTTAACAAAATAATTCTCTGTTGTTTACTTTGAACAAACTTGAAATTAAATTCGTTTCCCATAACTTATTTGGTTACAAAACTATTTCACTCTCATTCAAATACTCCCAAGCTGCTGTCTTTCCCTATGATACTGCCGGTGAGGATGACCCAATTAGGAGCGATCTGATACCATTTCCCAATATTGTTATTTAACAGTTATTTGAAAAAAGAAATGCTTCACCTTGCTTGTCCATAACAACAATAAAATAACAATAATAGGCTGCTAAAGTGCTCAAACGGAAACTAACATTCACACATACACTGGCGGAATAGCAGGGGCAAATCGGGGTTCAGTATCTTGCCCAAGGACACTTCGACACGCAACCAGGGATTGAACCGCCGACCTTCTGATTAACGGCCAACCCGCTCCTGAGCCACAGCCGCCCTAGGTGGCATTTTACGTAAGGTATCAAATTAAGTACTCAATTGATACTGTATCACTTTAAGGGTACTGATTTTGTTACTGGTATAGTAAAATTTGGGGGAGGAGGGGTATTATATAATCTATTTGGTATTCTATTTGATCAAATAGATTATTACTTGACAGCCTCCACATGCTGAACAAAGTCTGATTCTTGAGATTTTGGCAAAAACATGTTCCCCTAAGAAAACTGCTAATTCTGTTGAAAATTAATAACATTTTCTTATTTAAAACAAGCAGAGTTGCTCATCTGAGGGTCTTCTGCATAACTTTAGTTTATTTTCATATACTTGTTTTAAAAGTGATATTGTCTGACTTTTTTTGACAGCCCAGTACCCACAAAATCCATTGTCTTCAGACAAAAGAGTTAATTTCAATTTGATAAAAAGGAAAAAAATATTTTTAAATGTATATTAATAGGCCAGGTGAAAGAGTAGAGTGAAACAAATCCGGCTACTACATGGTCAACTGTATTCCCGAGGACCCCTTTCCAGCCTCCACATTACTAAATGCAATGGTCAAACAAGCTCCTGTAATTTGCTATTTGTTTATATTTTTTGTTAACATATTTACTGATGTTGCTAACATCACAACCATAATGTGTCAACACTCTTTTGTATAGAAAGTATTATTTTAAAGTATGACATAAATACATGAATTTTTTTTGTAGAGGCCAGAGGTAGCTAGCAACAGATGGAAAACAAGATGGCTCCCGGATGTCACTCATGTATGTCATGTTAATGAGTGTGTTTTTGTCACCACTGTCAAATTAAAAAATGTGTTTTTTAAGCCCCAAATTGTTATTTTGTATACTTAATGCTAATTATGAATGTTGCATGATGTATAAGTTTGTAAAAGAGTACATGTGAAAAAGTATAAAAAATTAACAAAAGTTAATATTCAACATTTAATAACATCTATATGTACCTATGGTGTAGACACAATGATTTTAAATCATTATGAGACTAAATAAATAAGATTAACTGGCTTTTTATTGTGTCTGATGGTGTTGACAAAAACTAAGTAGATAGGCAAAACACATATTTTATGAAAAAATTACAAAATCAGGAGGTTGCACCAAAATATTGCTGGATTGGTGAGATCTTGTACAATAAACACATAAGTTTAGATTTCTTAGTATTACATTTTATTTCTTTTCAAAATTAAACCTGTTTTATCCAAATTCTCAAGAATCAGTGAGGAAATAAGTGGGTATGACGAGGCTAGTCTCACGTGGGCAGCGCGCATCCTTGTTTACAATCCTTGACCAAAAGTATACGTTTTTCATTTTTTAACGGACTACCTGACTCCGCTCACACAGCCACGGAATCTTCAATGAGCTGGTTTCACTTCTGTGAGATTGATGAAGTTAGTTCTTGGTAGTGCTCTGTCTTCGATATGACTGCGTGTGTCCGTGTGAAGGTGCCACTAAGCCTTGCCCGCGTTGAAACATGGGCTCAAGAGAGGACAGAAGCAGCTCTGGTAAACACCAGAACAACCCTGCATGACTAAAGTTCAAGAGAATTTAACTTTTGAGGCGGCGAGCGAAGTGTGTGTGTGTGTGTGTGTGTGAGAGAGAGAGAGAAAACTGCTTGATCTTGCGTGTCTGTTTTTATATATATTTTTGTTATTCTTTCAGGGGGTGCAGGGGGTCGATGATCACTGATGATCCTGATGGATAGAAATAGATAACTGTCAGCAAAGATTATAATGAATCCCCTTCAAACAATGGCCAACAGTGATATCACTGGTGGAGACCACAGCATACTTTCACAGTGTTTCACACACAACCCAAACCACACAGCTAAAGCAGTTCTGTGACAGCTGCATAAAAATAATGCTGAAATTCACCTGTTAAATGAGTCTGTGTGTCATAAGCATATTAACACCTGTCTCAGTCCCTCAGAATGTGTATCGGCTAAACATTGACACGCCAGAAGAGGCCCAGCAGAATGTGTCCTTTGGTGAGTCAGATCGCTGGTGGGAACAGACTGACCTCACCAAACTGCTGCTCTCGTCCAATCAGCTTACAAAACTGTCTGATGACATCAGACTACTGCCTGGACTCACTGTACTGGATGTAAGTAACCCCAACTCAGTCAGTAAGAAGGCTAACTCAGTAACTCATCCATCAAGTAATACACAAATCGTATATGTGTTGTGAATGTGTCAAAGAGAAAAGGGCGCAAGGGATCTTCTAATTAAAGATTGTTTGTGCCCAGCCATGTTGACTTAATTGCAGAAATTCAAAATGCCATATGTGGTTTAGCTTCACATTTCTGCAGAAGCTAAAACATTTGGCTTCTTTTACAGATGTTATAATGGCTGCAGAACAAATGTTATACTGTACCTGCAGAGACCAATTGGAAATATTTGACTGATTTTGTTCTCCCTGCCACTGGTGGGGTCCAAGTTCATTGTTTTCTCCTGTCATTTGGGGCCTTTCTGGAGCCCTGTTGTATGTATTGTTTTCTTTCTCTTTCTTTTTCTCCGCTAAAACTGTGTGTGTGCAGGAAAAACTGCTAGACTAAAACTCACCAAAATAAGCAGGTGGGTTGCAAATTCCACCCACTACTCAGGCAAACACGATGGCACTCATTGACCTCATGGTGGCGCTATAATAATCAACTTTGCTTTTTTGCAATTATCTTAAATTATTAATTTGTTTAGAGTCCAAGTTCTTTCATGCTATTGATCTCTGGACTAAAATTATGCAACTTTTTATCAGTTTACTCAGACCTGTTTTTGCAAACTGGTCCAACGTTGGGCCAGTCGACCGAAACTTTGGTAGGCTCATCTACAGACAGCGCTGATCTAAAGTTATCAAAATAATTTTGATTTGTCAATCTTATTTAAATACATTTTTCTTTTGTGTCTTTTCGTGCAATTGCATAAAAGCTTGTAAACCAAAATTGGCTTAAGCTATTGTAACCAAACTTATAGCGTCTGTTCCGATTCTCCGTCCCCAGCTTTGCTGAGCAGTCCTGGGACATTCTTCCACAAGGGGCACTACACATGCGAAAGGTTTATATCTTTATAATTTGCTGAATAGATTTGTACAAAAATCAGTTTGTACGATCTAGAGTCACTACTCAGTTGATGCATAAAATTTGGTAATGATTTCTTAAAGTCGGCGTGGCTTATTACAACAAATGTAAATTTCTAGAAATTTCTCATTCCAAATTAGGGCTGAACGATTTGAGGAAAAAATCTACATGCGATTTTTCTGCCAGATATTGCAATTACGAATCAATTTGTGATTTTTATTTTTTAAAGTTTAGCTAAAGTTCAATATTCACTGCCAGTCTCATTGTGAAACGGCATAGAGAATCTGGTCGATTTTCAAAATACAACACCCTGCACAGACTCCCGATCATGTATCAACAATAAACAATTTAACTACGTAGCCGACTTAACAATTGTAGAAGCAAAAATCAAGGACAACCGAACAAAATCTGAACAAGTCGGCAAAATCAGGCAGGCAAAACGCTCTTATTCTGAAATGCTCCATGAGGGAAATGTAGCCTGTGGAGAGCGGCACAAAACTGGCTCAGAGAGAGCTTTTATCTGAGGTTGAAGCACAAGAAAGGACAAATTAACAACACGTCAACAACGTAGGTCAGGCTAAACCTTCCACTGCTGAAACACTCACTGTGTGAGTTGACGCCGGTGTTCTGACTGTCTATGCTGCTTTGTCGAAAAATGCTACCATAGCGCAAATCGACAGCAGAGTCTATCGAGTCACTCTGCCCTATCGAAAAATGCTACCTTATGTGTTCCCTTTCCCAATCCCATAAAGTTATGGTTCTCTCACAGTATTATGACATATTCTGTTTTTTGATTATATTATAACATCATTTCAGGGGTAGTGTATTCTTATAGACTAATATCACCTATCAAATAATGCTCCCATTAGCTACAGAATCATTTTATATTGCACCACTAATCACTCCATGTGTACTGTACGGAGATGGAGAGCATGTTGAAATCGGTTGAAATAACTATATTATGCCATCTTTATTTAAGATATGAGGGGTAGCGTATTCTGATAGGCTAATAATGATTTTTTTTTATGTTACTAACGATCAGCCACTTTCTCGACGGCTTTTCCAACAGCCAGTTTGCACAGATTTATAGGCGTGGAAACAAACCATGCTTGTGGGTCATACGCGCAGAACTGCTAAGTAGCACATCTCGATGGTAGCATAAATCGACAGAACACCGGACAAAACCGCGGCACAGCTGCTGCCAGGGTCTGTTTGGCTGGAGCCATTATCCCACGTTTTCCGCTAGTTTTGTTTCTTGTTGTAAAATGTACGCGCCCTGTGCCTGCTCTGATTGGTGAAGGGGACTGTAACAGGAGGCGCATGGTGCTTGTGATTGGTGAGAAAGTCTGTCACACAAGGATGACAACAGCATGAATTTTTAACTGCATGACTGAAAACAAGTCAGATGTGCTGCATAATTAACCTACATTTTAATCGGCGTCTTTGCTAATGTCATTCTTTCAAATCGCAATTTTGATTTGAAAATGATTAATCGTTCAGCCCTATTCCAAAACAAAAAATTTAAGAAAATCACCCGTATTTCCTATAGAGCTGACATTTTTTTGAAATGAGATGTCCTTTCCTCGGAGCCGTTGTTGTAAAGCAACGTCAATTAAATGTGACATTTTACACAGCTGCATCATCTGTCCACTTTGAGCCTGCTGCTGTAATCTCTGTCAGAGCAGCAGACCAGCAGGAATGCATAAAGCAGGCGTGTGTCAAGTACGCCAGAGTCTCTTTCGAATGTCCTTCAGAACTTTGCAAAATAAAAGCTCTCAATAAACTCAAAATGAAGCATTGCTGAAAAAAACATTCTCCTGCTTTTATTTTGGCAGCACAATCATTTAAGAGGAAGTGATTATGTGAGTAACTGTTGCTGTCATGACTCAGATCTATTTCAGCATCAGCCGCTATCAATTTATTAATTTTTTATTTTTCTGCTATCAAAACAATCTGGCCGCGGACCAGATATTATTGCTGGCGGGCCAGTTCTTGTCTGCCGACCACCTATTGCCAATCTTCACAATACAGGAACATGTACATTAACATTATGACATGTAAAAACTAGGCTTGTGCCGATTGGATCAGCTATCGACAATTGAAGGGATTATCAGCGATTTGTTTTCCATGCACCAATATTAAGGCGATTTTACTTTTACTTACTATCAGAACTAAGATTACATAAAAACAGTCTCTAGAATCTGCACCACACTGCAGTGTTTCCCTTTTCATTGATTTGTGGCGACACGACCACCACATACTATAAACTGTTTAAAATGAGTAACATTATGTGCCTTTTGCACACCGCCAAAAAATATTCACTATTATTATTATTACAACATGAAATACAGCACATCAGTACTGAACGCTCTGGTTGATATTACAGCCTAATAATTGACGTCAGCATTTTATAGCAGCTGACTTGGTATGATGTGAAGATCGGCTAAGACATTATCTGACTACCCATGTACACAAAAATCATCCACCTGCCCCCCACTAACTAATTATTTGTCAGATTTAGAGACCTCACCTGCATGTATACACAGTTTTTATGCATAATTCACTTAACTTTTATTTTAGAGACTAAATGCTCTTCCTCTACAATCGGCCTTATATAATTATTTAAATGTGGTCATTATGTTGTAGTTTGTTTATTGTAGCCTACAGTTTACTTAGGAAATTTGACTGTTTTGATCTGTAGCCTAATTAAATCAAGCAATTGTAAAATTATTAAATGCCATAACTGCCACACTACAGTTGTGATCACTCAGTTTAAAGTGCTCCCACACAACTGAGGACTTCATTTTGTTTTCCCTTTGACTGCAGCATTACACTCATGGCTGTGTACGGAGGTCAGGCACACAAAGAAACCCTCAATATTTGAATCTCAAAATTGAAAATTGAATGTTTACCAGACGATCGAATATTGGGGTCCAGCCCTAAAATGCGCACAGCGTCTCTGGAGAGGCGCTTCACCCAGCCAGCCGCTATTCAGTGTTCATGTTATGATTCTAACAACATCAACATCATTGATGTTAAAGTGAAATGACATTAAGGAATGTTGTAAGAACAGCGCTTTATGAGGTGCTACACAAACGGTGAAGGGCAGAAAGTTTGATCACGCATTGATCATTTTAAAAAGGCTTAACTAATACAACTTTCGTGCAGCTGCATGTCAAGCCTCTTTTAAATGTCACAGCGGCTGAAAAGACTTCTGCAAAGGATACACTGGTGTATCCTCGCTTAAAGCTCCTCCAGCAAGACCTCCTCGAGGTGCATTTTAGGAATTGAGATGTCCTTCAAGATGGTGTGCAAAGATCAGTTTCCAGGTCACAGGCTTAAGGATCGAGGAGGCACAAATTTGGAAAATGAGAAAGACCTCACCTCTCACCAGTGGTACAGTCAGGAAGTCGCCTACTCTGGGGATCTAAAGATTCAGCGTTCAAATCCCCACTTGATGAAGTCTTAATTGCCAAGAAGTGGTATTTTATCCTTGTGGTGTGTTTTCAATTACCCATTGAGTCAAGTTTGGACCCTGTGAAAATGTATTATTTTTCTCTGCTAAAAAGTGTTGCAGCAACAACCTTAAAACTTGGAAACGCAATAATTGGCAGTTGGGTTGCAAATTTCACCCACTACTTAGGCACATTTAATAACACTCATTGACCTCAAGTTGTTGTTATAATCAAGTCTGCGATTCTGCAATTACCCTATAAAAGATATATGACTATTAAAAATGACACAGACAGATCCTTCACTCATGTCATGAGTGTTGCATAGTTTGCCCAGCAGAGGGTGCTCTGCAGCTCCTCTGTTGACAACACTGCCTCACCACTAAAACCACAAAAGAAAACAATCAGCTGACTGGAGTCTCTAGAAACAACAAGGAGAGTGGCTGTGTTACTGGTGAGTTGGTCATTTGTCACGTTAATTACATGACTTAAATAATAAAAATTGCCCCATCACTTCTCCTCTCCTGAAAACATTCATGACCAGACTTGCAAACCCTTCCGTTTTTCATTGCCCTCTCCCG